AATATGACTGTAAAATTTATGACATTTCTTCAAATTTTTTTACCATACAGAATATATCAAAGAAAAAAAAGTAATTGATATTTATCCAAGGTGTTCGAATATGGTGAGCATTCGATTTTAGTTATGTATCATAGTTAATGTTACAAAATGTACTAAACGTAAAAACTCTTAGTTGAGCTCAGGAAGGTATATATTTTTACATCACACACATCATTATTATTATCGTTGTCTTATTTAATCCTTTTTATAGGTTGACAAATCAAAATATTGCTTGTTTGATCTTTAAATTCAAATATTTTGTAACTTTAATTTGAAATAAATTTTTTATATTTTAGATTGATATAATTCCAGAAATACGAAAATTTTGGCCAAAGATCGTTCAGGACAACTGCAGATCAATTTCGACCAGGTTGCGCTACATTCCGGAAGTGACCACGATGACTTATGTGACCAGGTCACCGCGCAGGTATATCTTGGCGAATTATTGAACATCCATTTTTTAGGGATCTTTTAAAAGAACTTAATTCTATTTATGAACAACCAACCCGCGAACATCTTTCTGGACGTTTATTGGAGAAAAGAAATGTCAATGGTTTATAATAAAATCAATAGAGATTTAGAGCAGCAAGAAAACTCAACATTATGTAAGTATTTTTTTAATTAAGAATCAAGAAATTTATAATTTTTTAAAATAATATTATTTTAAAAATGGATTGGAAGATAAATGATGTAATTGGACTTGATGAATAATCAATTTCTTTATGCAAACTTTTGGATTTTTTCTTATTTTTTATAAATATATGATTTTTATAAATAAAATCAAAGTGACTTTTGCTATATACGATTTGCTCAACTCGTAAAAACAAAATTATAAATTTTTAAAGTTTAAAAATTGTATTTTAATATCAGAAGGTTTCGATGGGTTTTGCTATCCGTCGAAACTTTACTACCACATCGAAACTTTCATAATATTGCCTTTAATAAAAAATTTTTGGCAAAACCTTTCAATTTCGATGCTTGTCGAAACCTCCGGGTTTTGCCCGATGTATCACTACGATTTACACATCGGTCAATATCCATGAAGATTAAATTATATTTCGTACGTTCCATTAAATGCAATACCGAAGATAATACCATCTTGTTCGGAGCCGAAATTCATCCGGTATCAAACATTTTCTCCCCCCGATCACTGGTACTATTGTATAACTGAATAAATGTTCGATTGGTGAAACTAGAAAAAATGTTTTTTTATTAATAATTAAGTAAGATAACTACATAATTAAAATTATTAAATGCAAATGCAATGCAGTTTTACGAATTAAATAAATTACTTTTCTTCACATGTTGTATTAATAACAAGATTTGGAGGTACCTTTTAATGACAGACATTCTTATCTATAGCAACTTATAAAGATTAGATTGTAGATTTTATTGAAGCCTGTAGGTCTTGAAGGTCATTCATAATTTTTTAGTATATTAAACGTATTACTCAATAATAATTAATTATCACGGTATATATAATTACCACATATGTAAATAAATCTATAATTCCGTCATCATTTGATTACGATTCATTTATTGGCTGTCACTGATCGCACATAGATTGGCCATTCATTTGTTTTCTCAGCCACCTCTTCTTGGAAATATTATAAAAAGGATTTGTCTTTATTCCAAAATTTTTTTAACTTGGTACGTATCAGTATTTTTTTTGATAAAAAAAAAAAAGAACACTTGAAAGGTTTGAAAGGAAAAGCTAATAAAATATTTAAAAAATGCTTATTCAATTATTTTTAGGAATTTTATAATAATGTCCAAAAGCTAAACCAATGTAGAGGATTTCAAATCAAAATTTACCGTTAACTCCCTTACTCCATCCTTGACCCAACCTCATCAACTGTATCTTATGCTATAATTTCTTATCCCTTCCATGGTTTCTGTTCCTGTCTTCTCTTGTTTCAGTTTCTCCCGTTACAGCTGTAGTTCCACTCGCCCTATTGCTCATATCCGTCATTTTTCTAGTGGCCAGAGTCAATGATCTTAATCCACTAGGCATTTTTATAGAAATCCCCTAACATTCTCCCAGTCATGACTCCGTGCATTTACGTTGCCAATGATGGTTTTTACCTTTCCCTTCGTTTTTAGCTGGCCACCTCTTCTTTTTCTCGTCATGTTGAAATAAACAATAAATTTAAAAAAATAAAAATGTTAAAAATAATCTATATCCCTGATAAATTCACTGAGGTGTTTTAATGATACCTTGATATATCGTATCGATCATATGAAGTTGACTTATTTGTCCTTCATATTTGCATTTAAAAATAATCGCCCACTTCATCCACATTTTTAATTTAGAGTTTTATATTATGTTTTTTTTAATTCTGTTTTATGTATCTAGATGAAGTCGTAAGTGAATTTTTAAAAATTATACCCCGTTGCACTAATTGTGAATTGTGATATAGAATATCGTAATTTCCCTAATGATAAAAATAATGTTTTTTCTCCGGGATATTTTTAGATTTTTTTTTTTCACAGTAATAAACTTTTTCATAAACTTTAAATTATTTTGTTTATTATAATTATATATAAATTTACATTATAATAAGTATAATTAAATACTGATAATTAATAAAAATAAATTACCATCTATTATATTATTAATTATTTTTTTAAATAAAAATTTAGTTGATTTTAAATTATAGTAATAAATACTAATAATCAATAAAAATAACTTACTTCCTAATAAAATTTATTTAAATAAAAAATATAATTAAATACTGAAAATAACTTACTTTCTAATAAAATTTATAAAGGATTTAGTTGATTTTAAATTATAATAATAAGTATAATTAAATACTGGTAATTAATAAAATAACTTACTTGCTAAATAAAATTTATTTTTTTAAATAAAAAATTTGGTTGACTTTAAATTATAGTAATAAGTATAAATTAAATACTGATAATTAATAAAAATAACTTACAAACTAATAAATTTTATTTTGTTAAGTAAAAAGTTTAGATGATTTTAAATTATAATAACAAATATAATTAAATATTGATAATCAATAAAAATAACTTACTCCCTATTAAAATTTATTTTTTAAATAAAAATTTAGTTAGTTTTAATTTTATAATCATATATTGATAATTAATAAAATAACTTACAAGCTAATAAAATTTAAATTATAGTAAAAAATATAATTAAATACTGATAATCAATAAAAATAACTTACTATCTATTATATTATTGATTATTTTTTTAGTAAAAATTTAGTTGACTTAAAAGTATAATTAAATACTAATAATATAAATATAACATACTTTCTAATAAAATTTTTTTTTTAAATAAAAAATTTAGTTGACTTTAAATTACAATATCAAATATAATTAAATATTAATAATCAATAAAAATATCTTACTATCTAAATTATTAAATATTAATTATTTTTTTAAATAAAAATTTAGTTGACTTTAAATTATAATAAAAAATATAATTATTAATTAATATCTATCTTACTTTCTGTAATATTATAAAGAATATTAATATTTTTTATTTGAATTATAATAATATAATTAATTAAATTAATAGAAATAATTTACCATCTAATTATTAATATTTCATTTTTAATAAATATTTTTATTTATTAATTATAAATAAAATATTTAATTAAAATTATAAATATAAATAATTTACCAACTAAAATATTATTAATTATCATTAAAAATTTTTATATAATATTAAATCATAAAAAAAAAATAACTTACTCCCTATAATATTAAATATTTCTTGAATAATAAATTTAAATTGTATAGATTAAAATATAATAAAAAATTAAATTGTTTACAATCTAGATATTTATTATAGTTGATTTTTTTTTTAAAAAAAAAATTAGTTAATAAATAATTTTATAAGTAAATAATAGATAAATAAAGTTTATTACCATATAATTCTTTAAATGTAGAAGTATCTGAAACTGGTTCTAATATAATGAAATTAATAAATATAGTTTATAGAAAAATCTAATATTTAGACAATTTATAAATATTCTTTACCATTTAATCTTTCTAATATTGAATAAATATTGAGTATAATTAATAGTTTATCATATTTGTTGATTAATTATAGTTATATTGTATTTACCTTTATTAATTGAGACTGATTCTATATTCGAATTTGATAAAATTTAAGTTTTAGCAAACAAAAATGAGTATAATTAACGACATGTATTACCTTTTAATGAGAAAGTTTTTTTAGCATCCGAAACTGGCTCTAATGTAAATTCATGAAAAAAAAAATATATTATCAAACCGTCAAATTAACACATCTTTTATTCCTTTATTACCTTTATAATTACTATTAGACATTGTTATAATTTATAATAAAAAATAAGTTTTTTTTTTTTAAAAAAAAAAATAAAATATTTATTTCAAATTATCTTGTATAACGATAACAGAATGTAATAGTAATACATATTGTCAAGATATGTAGATCTTTCCGTAGTATGTATGTGAAACGGATGCATGCGAGGGACAGCATTTTAGAAATCATTGGTAATTAATAAAAATAACCAATGGTGATAATATAAGTCGGAAAAACTTTTGTTCTAATTAGATAAAATAATTTTTTTGATTGTTTTCAAAAATAATTATCAATCATCGCACGTTTATTAATTTATTATGTAATTTACTTAATTAATTATTTCATCAAACTTATGAATAATGTCTAACCATGATTTACTGTTTAGAGGTATATTTTACTAATCTAAAATCTAAAATTTATTGATTTGTAAATTTTGCCGAACGTTTTGCCCAAAGATTTAAATTCTGGATCGTCTGATTTTATATAACGTGATAGTTAATTTACTATACGATTGGCAAAAATGATCGACATGGTGATATGCATGTTCCTGATTTACACGCAGTTCGTATCTTGTATTAATTAATACTTAACGTATTAGGTATAAGCATGAATATGAAACATACCTCTTTCATTAGGTTTTATGCTATTGCGGAAAACTTCCATTAATAATATTTGTAAAATAATATCGTTGCGTTTTAAGGTATGGTATTTTAACGGAAAACTAATGATTTGGAAGAAAGAGAAGAGAGATTTGCAATATGTTTTTAAAAAGTATACATACTATACATGCAGTATTTTGATCGTGCGAATATTTTGATGGATAGTGGCTCATTATTTGAATTGTGGTAATCTCTCGTGAAATATTTCTGCGTGATTAGACAGTTTGTTATGTAAGTACAAGTGAAATGTTAAAATAAATTTATGAACGACTATTACAAGGTTTATTATAATACTCATTTATACAAGACTGGAGTCCTTATATAAAGCCTACACTTATATTTAATAAAATATCAAATATAAATTATGTTCATTAGTAATTGTTGGTTTTTGTCTTTTTGGTAAACAATTTTATATTATATCTACAGATGTTTGTACAAATACTTTTATGAAAGGATAATAATTAAAAAATTACTCTTTAATAATGTATAATTTAAAATTTTATAATATAATTTTGTTTTTAATTTTTATACTATATTTTTCTAACGAAAATCAAAATTTTATATTGATCAGATTTATTTCAAGATTTCCGCTCATGATGTCCTGATTCATTATTTGTCCTGAACGAAGCGAAAGGACAATATAAGTTTACGCAATGTGAAAATTTCCGGTCACGTGTGTTTCTCTGTCCGCTCACGTGATGAATAAAATAATTCCTTTTGCGATTATTGAGCTCGGGACTTACAATGGTACCATTTCCTAGTTTTAATAATTTATTTGTAACCTGTTCTTGGATTATCCGGTGAAGTCAGATAAAAAAGACTCCCGAAATGTATTTTCTTTTCCCATTGAACTGCTTGAAATAATTCAAGATAAAATTAGTTCAAATCAATTTAGTTTTTGTCAAAATAAAAGTTTAAAAAAAGATAATGTTTTATTAATTATGTATAATCAACATTTCTGATGAACCCTGGCCTAATGATATAGGTTATTTTTTTCATGAGTCATTACCGAATTCCAAATGACAATTTTAACGTTACTTAGGGTCTTAGCCAAATGACCAGGTCATTTGCTATCACTGCATAACATGCAGAATTAAAAGATTCGGAAAGCACTACAAATCAATAAATTCGATATTTTAGAGTATGTATAATATCAAACAACTTTCTTAAGTCAACTTATAATTAGGGATTGGAATCGAATTTGATATTTAGAATTTGATTTTAATCACAATTATCATTTCTCAAAATTAGACTCTAAGATTCGATTTTTTGATTTCCGATTAATCGATCGATCCATTAAGTTAGGTGTTTGAGAGAGACACCCTAAATAAATTAAATCCCGAAAAAATAAAAATAAAATAAATTTAATTAAAAAAATAGTGATATACTGTATATATATGCAAATTATAATAATTAAAAAATATTAGAGAACGCGTAATTATAAAAAAAAATTTTTTTAAAAAAATTCGCGATATTTAAAAAATTTAAAAAATTTCAAAATTAAGATAATTAATTAAAAAAAAAAAATGGACAATAAAACAAAAAAAAAAATTGCGAATATTAAAAGTTAGAAAAAACTGCAAATGAATCAGTAATTTTGTTGTAAAATGAAATTTATACATAAATTTCTACGTAAGATCAAATTAAAAAAATTCGCTAATATTAGGAAAATTGACAATTCCGCATTGTTAACAACAACTTCTTTTTTACTTTCTAGCTTTTTTAACCCATCTATTTTTCCACTAAGATTGGGATTATCAGCCAATAACTTACGTTTAACCAATTTGTTTATCCGGCGATATCCATTGACATTTACGAAATCCTGGATATATTGCAAGAGAAAATGCTTATCATATAACAACTAAAAATAAGTCGATAAGAAAATATTATATGCTCAACAATTTCTAGTTTCTTTCTTTATAGTCGCTTCTTTATAAGCAGTTTGGTTGCATTGGCCATTTGTTTTCTAGTTGCCTTCTTTATAATACTTGCTTTCTGACATCTAGGATAGATTAAGATTGTAGATTAATTTACCTATGTAAAACAGCTAGATAATCGTCAAAGCGACTCATAAAGAGCCTGGAATGTTATACTTTAGTTATATGAGAACGCTTCTCAACCCACGAAAACGCGTTTCGTTCTCGAGCATACTGGTCTATTCTGCACTAAATTATAACTAGACACAATATCCCAATGGAAGTAGCCCAACTTTATGTTCTTGACTTATGAACGAGAACTTCCCGCCCAAACACACAGCCCGCTCACCAACAAACACTAGTTATTTAGTCCTCAGGCTGTTTTTTCTTATTCGATACATTAGTTGTGTAAGACGTAGCTGAGCGGGATGTTCCTCTACAAACAACTTTGTAAAACCCGATCTCTTTTTTAAATGAATGATGCACACGATCTTTTCTGACATTGCTTAGGATCTGAAAACTTGTTGATGCTTGGCCATTTAGTGTTGTAACAGTTCTAAAGTTCTACCAGAAGTGAAGAATGAAGACATACAATACACTTCGTAATTTTACTATTTACTAATAAATAATATATTTGCAAATCCTTACCGAACGGAGGATCCCTAATGGGGTTATTTTAATTAATATCATTTAAGATAATCGACCTTTTTTATTGATGATCCTTTCAATATTATATCTGAATGCAATGATTGTTTGACTTTCCACGTGAGGTGTTTGTTGATTTTCTACAAGTGAAGGTAGTGTATTCGGGATTCTTTTAGTTGAAATTGATTTATGAAGTGTTTCAACGACTATTTCAGTTTTAATATACAGTGATTTCCATAATTATTGTACCACTTCGTTTGTAATTTTTAGATTGTAATAAATAAAAATTCGATGATCGAACGATTTGCAGATTTAATTAATGTATCGTCTGAGTCTTCTTTTATAATATATTCAAATTCAAATTTCTTTTTATTTATAATTTTAAAAAAAAATTCTTTCATAACCATAAATTTTATGGTACAATACTTCTGGCGCATATAAAAATAAAATCAAAAACATAAATTTTTCAAATTTTTTTTTAACAAACTATGCTCTAATTTTTTTTTAACAAAACTATCACCATCTCGTATACCCCCCATTAGCCTTAAGTACATCTTTAACTCGCTGTGGCATAGTATCAATTAGCTTTAAACAAAATTCAGCATCAATTTGATTCCATACTAATTGTATCTTATTCCACAAATCTTCTGCACTAGTAATATTATCGGGAAGCTGTCGCAAACGACGATCAATTTCGTTCCACAAATGTTCAATAGGGTTTAAGTCCGGTGATTGTGCTGGCCACTCTAAAATTTTAATATTATTGTCATCAAACCACTTGTATATTTTCTTTACTGTATGTTTTGGGTCATTATCCTGTTGGAAAATGATATCATTTATATTCAAATTACATGCGCTAAGAGTCCCTAAAATCTCATCTCCCAAAATTTCTCTATATAACTCTCTATCTATTTTTCCATCAATTTTACAATACTTTCTAATGCCAAATGAACCTATACAGCCTATATCATTACAGAACCTCCACCAAACTTTACAGTTGGTTTAATATGCTATGGTTACAAAGGTAAATTTGGATCTTTCTAACACCACTTTCTCTCATCTGAGCCAAAAATTAAGAATTTACTCTCATCTGACTACACTACTTCTCACTAATCTTCTATAGTCCAATTCTTATATTTTTGAGCAAATTTTTTTAGTGCTTTTCTGTCTCTTTAGCAACAATGGTTTTTTTTAACTCTAGCTACAAGACTTTGCCTTTTCAATGAGCATCGAATAGTATTTGGTGAAATAACAATATTTTCGTTGAAAATTAAAGATTTTTGAATTTGAATAGCATTTGTACATTCACCTGACTTAATAAGCCTAGCTATATTCCTATCATGACGTTCTGTAAGTATTCTTGGGTGGTCTGGTTTTAGAATAATATCAAAGCTGCCTGTTTCTTCTTTTTTTTGTTTAATTCTTATTACAGAAGCATGACTTATATTTTCGCGAGAAGCTATTGTATGACTTGGTAAACCTTCTTGGATAAGGGCAAAAATATGTTCCCTTTGATGAAGTGGAATCACCTTCATAATATATTTTATTTTTAAAAAAAAAACAAAAGAAAGGCATATAAATTGATCTACTAATTTAAATTTACTTATATGTATAAGACATATTACATGATCATAACTTTATTATATTAATTTTGATTCCAAAAGTATTGTATCACGAAAAAATTGCGTATAAAGAAATTTTTTAAAAAGCCACAAATTAAGTAATATTCAAATTTAAATATATTAAAATCCTGATTACAAGCTTTAAATTGGTTTAAAATTTTAGCTTTATAGTCACATAATTATTTAGGTATCACAATCTAAAAATTAAAAATGAAGTGGTACAATAATTATGGAAGTCACTGTATACTAACTAAAATTAAAAAGGACTAGATTAAATTCAGTCTGAACATTTTTTGTATTATACATATTCCAAATAAATTCTAGACATTTTCATTCATTTCTTTTTTATAGGAAATACATATTCTGGACAAATTTTAATACATAATTCGGACATTTTTTGTATTAGAAAAATAGATAAATAATTTTAATACAAATTCTGAACATATTCTGTATTAGAAAAAAAGATTAAATTTATTTCTGTATATATTCCAGATGTTTCTAAATGTTTGAATAAGTCTGAACAGCAAGCTTGATCATTTTTTAGAACAAATAATGGTTATTTTCTGGACATTCTCTGATATACCTGGATAAATTCAGAACATTTTTGATGATATTTTCTGGACATTTATTTTTTATAGGGAGAGAAGATAGAAAGAGTGTTAGGTATCTCATTTTCAAAATTTCTAATGTCAGAAGCATTTCCAATAATCATTAATATTTAGCTTTCCTAATAGCTGAAGCCAAATATGAAGTATAGGCAGGCATAATATTGTCTTTGAGAGAGAAGTAAGTAGCTATCCAATGAGGATGAAAAGCCTGAGAGTTTTATGCTAGTACGTTCAATTGGTTGAGCTTATTTTTCTATACAAATCTTTAATGAACTGTCATATTGAGATCAAAATAGGCGAAGTTTGGTTGATCATGAAGCCTTTGCAGGAGTTAGATATATTGAGTTGTAATGCAGAGGATTGAATACAATTTCTGGTAAGA